ACTCTCCTTAAAAAGGCTTTTCAGCTTAATTTACAATGTCAAATATCTAAAACTTAGTTTTCCAAAAATACCCTTAAAAAATGCTGTTTTATTTTAACCTTAAATACATCTAAATTAGTGATAGACTGAAACTCGTCTGGGAGACTATTCCACATATTACCTCTGAAGGTAAACGCGCGCTGACCTGCAGCCGTCCTACAGAGTGGTATATGTAGGNTTTAACAAGGACATGTGATCAATGCTGTCAAATGCCTTGGAAAGATCTAATAACACCAAGGCAGTGACTTGCTTGCGGTCCATTGCCTCCAAGGCTAGATCTGACATCAAAATATTGAGTGTCTCTGTCGAATGTCGTTTCTTATTCCCACTCTGGTGTCCACTGAGACAGTTTCTCCTTATTGCATATTCGGTGAATTGATTTAAGGCTATTCGTTCACATATCTTAGATAGGGCAGGTAACAACGACACAGGTCTATTCCCGTTGGCTACTTCCGGATCTCCACCATCCTTTAGAATTGGAACAATTTCAGATTCTTTCCATGGTGAGGGAAATACAGATGTCAAAAGTGAACTGTTTATGATCTCTGTCAAAATCGGGAGGATTTAGTTCATCAGCGTATGACAAAGATTCATGTAATGGTCTTCAAATCATAGGTTCAAAAAGTTAGTTTTATACATAGTGTTTTAAATGTTCAAAACCAAATTTGTTAATTTTGCCAGTTTCATACGCCTTTTTGGACAAACACATAATAAGAATAGAGAAACATTGTGTTCACGGGTCTGTGCATTTGTATTTTTACAAATGCTAAGACCGACACATCCATATCATAAAAAGCATAGCCCAGAGATAGTTGAGTAGCAGTCGGCAAAGGATCAGTCATGGGGCGAACAATTCAGGAGCTCAGTACGGGTCAGTTACAGCAGGACGGATCTCTGTGATCCACGTCTTTTCGGCACTTTTAGCCATAATAATTATGGCTAAAAGTGCCGAAAAGACGTGGAAAAGACGTGTTTTATTCAATTTTAGCATAATTATTTTGCTATAATGGGGGGGGAGGGCACTTGGGTATTTTTTGGGAGGGTATGTGCCACCCGCGACTCCGCATTGGCACCCCGTTCTAGAAATGGGCCAATTTTTTGTAGCTCGCTCTACAATTCACCCTAAAACTGATACCCTGTTCTAGAAATGCGCCAATTTTTTATACTCCGTTCTAGGGTGCAACAAGAGTACAACAGTTTCCTTGTTAACGCATTGAACCATTTTTTTAAAAGCAATCTGTCCTTGAATAATTTCAAGTGGCTGCTTACAAAACTGGGGCTTTCGTGCGTTTGAAGTATTATACCCCGTTCTAGAAAATGCCTCTGAAATGAATACCCCGCTCTAAATCAGGAGCTTCAAAATCACGACCCCGTTGGGCGGCACATACCCGTATAGCTAATGTATGGGAGTAACCCCCCCACCCCCCCAGGTCACAGCCTTCATGAAGGCTTGTATCTACTCTCTACAAGCATGGCTTATTGCCTTGCATTGCTCAATGCTTTAAGTCTTGTCTAATTTTCATTTTACCTGGTAGCTTTGTTTGCACAAATTTTCTTAAAGTTCAGCTTAGAAATAAACTCTCTTTTTCTTGTACTCAAGCGGGTATTGCGCAGGCGCGCGTTTCAAATCCAATATGCATGGCGGACAGAAGTGACAACTTTCGTAAAGGACTTGGTAATCGTGCATAAGCTTGAGTAGAAATAAAAAATAAAAAACAGAAAGCAAGCCCATTTTAGCTTACAGTTGTATATAACAAAATACAGTAGTCAGCACCAAGTCTATTAAAACTTACATCGTGTTTTCACGCCAGAACCTCTTCTTCACGTGCATTGAATTCTTGCTTGTACTTCAAGAACTCTGGCTTTTTCTTCAACTTCAATCAACCGCATAAATGCTCAGGTATTCTTAATTGCTTTTCTCTCAAGAAAGATGTGTTTTCCTTTGCAATAAATGAATGAATCGGGAGTTAAATCTCCTCTCTTTCGACGCTGGGTTCTCAAACGCTCGAAAGAGGTAGACTGGTTTCCATTACATACGCTGATTGGAGAGTCTTGATCACATGGTCTGAGCGCGGGGAAAATGAAAACGAAAAATGAAGCCGCGATGAGGTCTGGGTAAATCGGAGGCGCAGAAAAAAACTAATCAAAGATGACCTCGTAAGTCTTTTACACGTGCACCCAGATGCATATGTATGCATAATTTTAAAATCAAAATACAAAAGGCAAATTCCCGGAGAACATCACGTTAGACTACGAGCAGTCTCCCTTTTTTCTGTAGTCCGTCGAGCAAAACGCGAGACACGCAAATGGCCACGCGCCTAACTGATGGCGCGAGACGCTGCCCTCTTTTCGCGCGTCTCGCGGCTTCGCCGCTCCCGCGCGCGTGCATTGCTCTCACTAAATCTGAAGAAAAATAGAGACTGCTCGCAGTCTAACATCACGTGGTCTCAATATACAAGCTAAAAATCTACAAAGGTCTATTGGTAGTGGGTTTAAGAAAAGAAATCAAGCAATAACACTTTCCTTACTTCTATTAAATATTTCTAACACTTCGCGTTTTGAATGACCGTCTATTTCATTTCAACTGAACAAATATTAGGGAAAAAATCATTTTAAATGCCCAAATTTAATCTTTTTATCTTATATCAGAAATGCTAATTTATTTATCCAAACAAAGTTAATCCGCAACCAATTCGCCAATTTTTCCTTTATTTTCACTTTTTTAGGTAAAGTGACATGAAGCGGTACCGGCTTCCAGGAGAAGGGACATGCTTTCACGAACGAACACTATTTTTCGTAGCTTTCACAGTAGCTAGGAGCGGTCTATAGCCATGTCCATGCAAAAGAGTGTGAAATCCGGTACGTCCACAAGGACCCACAAGGAATCTTTCGATCCAAGAAACAATCTCATGCCTGTAAACTAGTTACAAGGAAGGATCATCAACTAATTAGACTACGAGTAATCCCCCATTTGTCCTCAGGGATAGTAGAGCAAGCCAAATGCGAGCGCGCGTGAGAATTACCCCATGTGTCTCGCCTTTCTCGCGTGGGGTGATTTTCACGAGCGCTCGCGTTTCGCTCGTTCTACTATCCCTGAGGAAAAATGGGGGACTACTCGTAGTCTATCACCTAATTCAAACTCCTTTTAAAGGAAAATTTCACTGCAGGGATTGGACATAGCTGATCTGTAACACCATGCTTAGCACAATTAGGCAATTAGCCCACCCTGTGGTTTAAGAAAGAAACACCCGAACACTGGGATGGTTTTGGAGCCACGTGCCCAGTCAATTCAATTCCATTTCCTTTGACTTGACCATCGCTTGCGACGTACCTGAAGTAACATCACACATGGAACATTGCAGAAAACGGATCGATGTGGATTTTCTTAACAGACTATTCTGATCGCGATGATCTTAATGACCTGTCGCTAGATAGCCATCGAGAGGCTACGAAAAGCCTTGGTATTCACCAAGTATGACCAGGCGTGATGGACTGGAACCCAGCACCTTGATCACGGCCTGGCCAGTTCTTCAGAATCTAAACAGGCTCGGCAGCAACAATGCGGCTGACATGGAAGCTAGTTGAACGGCCCATCCAAAAATATGGTGACGGAGGAATAGAATATAGTTACGCCCTTACAGGATGTAAGAGCAAGCTTTACGAAATCAGCAAACCGGTCAAATTCCTAAACCGATTCAGTCAAGAATTAGCCTGCTCAAGGCGTTCAGATAGTAGAGCTCAGGCGAAAAATGAGGGTGCTAATGGGGGTACACAGTTTTCAGTCAAGTTCTAATGTTTTGACCAAATATCACTAGTCTTTCAGGTCTTCTACTGTTCTTTGGCCAATTTTCAGTTAAATTAACTGCTAACCCCATTGGCACTCTCGAAAAATAACTGAACAAGGAGTAAAAACGAGAGGACGACCCACACCACAGTCTCCTCTCGTTTTTTTCCCCCCTCGTTTTTCAAACATAAAAACTCGCTCCTCACCATTTGAAAGCCGGGATCAGGATTACCGGTCCACCTCTAAATTCACCCATGATTTCCGCCTTATTAGAGCACATCTGAATATGACTTGATCGACCAATAACACTAACATCAACTGTAAAGAAATCGCTCAAGGTTAACGGGTAGACTGTTTACTGTGGTAAAGTGGTAAATCGTGTGTTCAGTAAAGCAAAGCCTTTGTATGTTGACTTCACCTTTGACTCCAACTTGTTACGTATTTGACTTCACCTTTACCAAGGACAAAGGTGTTAACAAAGAGGGTTTATATTTGGTTTAATTCACATTTGACGTGCGTCAAAGGTGAAGTCAAAGCCGATACCATACGATTGACTTTGTTCACAGCAGCAAATCCAATTCGATTCGAAGTGGTTTTGACGAAAAAAAATTATACAGTGTTGTCACTGTGTTGTCGTTGCGGCTTTGAATTACCAGCTACTGCGTTGCAAGCACTGACTTTTTAGATTTCAAAGTCCAGCTAGAATCGGCTATTTTTTGCCAGACTACTGTCTAAAGTAACTCCTGATTTACGCGAATGGAAACTTTCTTTGCTATGTTGCTACTTCAGTGACCAGTATCATGGAGACTGGATACAAGCAAAAGAACAGTGAACCCTGAAACGACTCTACAGTCAGCATTTTACAGACACCAGATTTAAATGTAAATTTTACATTGAACTTTTTATACTAATCCAACAGGCGAATAAAAAAGTTAACAAACTTTTCTTGTAACGAAATTTTGATTCAGTGAGATAAATTACATCTCCGTCTTTTCCCATCAGGTAACAAAAAAAAAGCACATAACAAATAACGACCATTGAGCATTGTCAAGTGTCTTCTCAACTCTGTGACGTAAATCGAGCGATTCACCGCGCCGCATTGTTTTAAGCAGCCGGCTACTCCGGAAAAGTTGACAAATTTACATTTTCGGTTGCTTCGTTCGCTGTTTTCTTCACGATGGGTATAACTTGCTCAAGCCACTACCTTCCTCAATCGTTACAAGACCCTTCACCGCCGTCAACAAGAGTCTACAAGCCATTCCCGCGGAAGAAAAGATGTACTAGGGGTACTGTTGTTATGCAATTAACGGGGGAAGGTCTGGCAAGCAGTAATCCTCCGCGCTATATGCATGAATTGATTAGTTCTGTGAGATATCATTACCAATATCAGTGTTTATTTGCTGCTCAGGATGATTCAGTACTCATATACGGTGAGCAAAGTACCTTTTTCATCCTTAATGTACTGAGTTTATTTGCTACATATGACATAATCAACACAGGGTTACATGAAATGGCAAATGAGATTAAATTTGTTGATGGTCTTGTGAAAACAGCGAACGAATGATACTTTCATTAACCTAATGTTGATATTTAACCTCCGGGAATTTTGTTTTCAAAGTTGAATAAAGTTTGAGTGTAGAACTTTATTGCTATCTGATAAGAGAGCGTTGTCAACGCAAGTCGAAGTCTTTTCTTTCATTTGACGTACTATAAAACGTTTGCATTTTTTTTCACGCAGTTTAAATTGTACAGATGGGTTTGTCGATCTGTCGATTTACATGTATCATAGTCTTTACAACATACAGATCTGAAGGCTTGGTCAGCAAAAGGAAAGTCCACTTATTACCTATTAGCACAGATGGTTTTTTCCACTTTCAAACAACCGTACAGAAGAACAAGGCAAAACTTTTAAACTAGAATAATTTAGTCATGCAGCTATCTCGAATCATTTTACTATGTTAACCTTTTAGATGTTTAGATTGATTAAGTTTGGTAAAACGAAAAATAATACTAATTGTAAACGCCAATGAACAAATGTTTCACATGAGAAATAAACTGTTACTTACTCGCCTAACTGAAAAATAATTAGCCAGTGAATTGTAAAGCAGTTTGAGAGAAATTGAATATCCTCGAAGCAAGTGAATTCCGGTTTTCCAAAACGCTGAATGGCCAAAAAAAAAATTGTTAAGACTAGCGAGAGATCTACACGAAATACAGCTGCGAACACATAAACTTCGGAGTAATCGACAGCCATGAGGCTTGTGATATTAATTTCACATTTCTAATTAATCAATGTTTAAGACAGAAATTTTCAATCATGGTTGTACATGCCATTTCCCATCCTTAGATTTGAAAATTACCGCTTAAATATGTTACCTCGAATTGCGCGAAAAAAATTGACAAAGAAAGAAATACAAAATTAAATAAACAACGTGGGAGTGACTTTAGCTTTAAGTTCAGTTGCTATAGTGTGTCAGCTGAATATACGACAGTCCTGACGTAGGTGTTGTGGTTCGATTATATCCTTGGTTCAAATTTTATTTCCCTCGGTTTTAAACTCATCATCATACATTACCATACCCATGCAACAGAGGGAAATAAAATTTATACCAAGGATAAAATTGAACCACAACATAGACAACAATCTCCCTGTTGATCGTATTCAGCCTCATACAAAAATTGAGTGTTTAGGCTATGTAAACACTAATCCGGAGAGATTATGTTTCTTGTGTCGACATAAAAGATAATATTCTGGCCTGAAGTGGACACCTGATCACACTGCCACGGCGGGTGGCACGATCCACTTCAGCGCGACATGGGAAAATCCAACGGCGCGGACGGCAACGCGAACGTCAAAAAAACAATAGGTTTTATAAGCAAAACAACAACTTTGCACATGATATCACGCTTTTTTTGTATATTTCTTTGCCCGTTTTTGCACGACTACGACGTGAAAGTGCCAAATTTCGCGTTTTGTGGAAGTCATAAACAAGGAACGACGAAATTTTATTTCTCTTTTCGAACTTGGATATGGTCCCTAGGAATTCAATTCCAGGAGGGCTCGCTTACATTTGGCAGGCAAAGTAAGTGGGTAGGAATAATTGCGATAAAGACTGAAAGAACGCAAATTCACTTTTTAAGAGACGTTCTTGTTGAGGTCGCGTTGTTGGATCGTTAAGTCCCTACTGTACATGTTTGGTTTGGTTTTGTTTGTTTTCTTTTTTTGGCCAAGAGCTATCGGGTAGTGTAGACATGACATTAGTCAGGTCTCCCAGAGTGAAAGAAGGAGTCTCCTAAGATGGCTTTAACTTTTGAGTTTGAGGACAAATCCTATGGTGTGATCATTAAGATGAAATCTCTTTTTCAAAACTTTCAGATATTGCTTAAATGATTTTGAAATTAAAAGATGGAAATTGTGTTGAATTTAGAGTGTGGCCTCTTTTGGGAGTGAAGAATTAAATCTGTCGCCTACGTGGCAGGTGTGTAGGAAATACGGGGACAAATGATAATCGATGCGCGCGAAAGATGAAGACACGTACGCGGGAGGAGAGAGAGTGATACTGTTATCATTTGCGCCCTAAATTCCTTTCTGCGAAGGCTATTAAATCTGCTAAACACGGCTGAGTTGGTGTGGCTTCAATATTTAGTTCAAATGGTGGGTAAATCGTTAACGTCGTGAAAAAGTACTAGCTGCCACCTAAACTGCTTTATATTTGCTAACTTCAGGGGTCTTGCTTCGGCCGCACCCTAAGCAAGGGAGGGAGGTGGCTCAAAGACGTGTACCCGAGGAAAACCCATCTTGACTAGGGGTGTTAGGGATATACAAGACACCACCAATCTAAGCTTTATGGACAAAAGTCTTTAGCGTGAAAACCTGAGATAAGACCGAAATACTTTTTGTGCGTGAAGCTTACATTGTCAGACAAACATCACTAGAGCATTTAAATCTTATACTATAATCTGCAATTATTGGGGGAAAGCTCTTCCAATGAGAAACCATCATTTTATAGAGACACCACTAAACCACTGTTTCCGTTTAGTGATGGGTCCTGGCTATGTACAATAGTTTGGATGACCATTTTCCTTATTAGAACCTGGTAAACGGGCCAACGCAAGACTACTGAACTTACCAGATATGTAATATATAATATGTTTACTCTCTTCAAGGAGCGGTTGTGGAACCTTCATCGCACTTGGCGAAAAATCCAACCTACACTTCACGCACGCGCACTTGGGACTTAGCATCCTCACCTTCCACGGCTATCACCAAGTACCACTGCACACTTACTTCCGGTCCATGGTCAATTTCCCCCAACGGTGTTCAGCTGTGCTGCCTAGCAACAAAGCATGGCATTGAGGAAGAAGAAGATCTTTTTCTCTCAAAGGTTGGTTCTACACCGCAAAAATGTACTCCGTGCAACATCCCGGGAACTCTGTCAGAATACCGTCGGATATATCCGCAAGGGTGCCCGTTCTCCGGTGACGGGAGCATGGTTGCCTCCATCCGTGTAGTGGGAGGATCTCTAAACCTGTCAATCACCAATACGCGAAACGCAAGAACGATTTGTTCTGACAAAATAAGCAAAGTGTGTGCTGGTTTTCGCGGCGTGGTTGTAGATTGCGCGTTTTCCACCAACGGTCAACTTCTTGCAGTAACCTCATCACAAGGAAATGTTTATTTCTTAATCTCCGCACGCTTGGTCTTGACGAAAAGTCTAGACAGCGCGAAAATTCTTGCTCCGTACAAAGTTCCAGATCTCGGCGATAGCAATCTGGAAGATTACGTTACACAGTCTGTCTGTATCTTTGATCCGCGCTTTCCCTTTCAAGAATTTGCCACGTGCGTTATTTACGCAGGTGTGGTTAAAACTTGGCGCATGTCGAGTTTTGACAGACGGGACATCGAAATCCAGGTTAGACACAATCTAAAGTTTAAAAAGATGCTAAATGTTGTCAGATATTCCCCGGATGGAACGATGCTGGCAGTGGGAGCAAATGACGGCATTATTTCTTGTGTGAATACAGAGAATGGACAAGTTAGTTTTGTCTTAGACCCATCGCAACAGCCACCAGAATTCCACAGCGAGGCAGGGGTATTTCACATGGCTTTTACTCAAAGCGGTGAGGAACTTGCTGGTAGCTATAGCGATGGGTACATTCGAATATGGCAGCTACCAATGATCTTTAACCTAAAGTTCCTGTGCCGACAAGTGATAAACACCAGAGTCTCACCTAGTAAAGTTGACAGGCTTCCGTTGCCAACGCGTCTCAAGAATTTTCTACTTCACAAACACTTTTGATGGCAAGGGGAAAAATTCCGAAACTTTGTATTCTGAGCCATAATTGGCTTGCTTGATCATGCTGAAATTCAATGACCCAATAGCAGCAGCTCCTGACCAACAGGAATTTTAAGCATGCTTTAAAGAGAGTTATATTTGAAATTTTAAAAGTATTAAAATATCTTGATGATACACTTGTGGCAAGGGATTGAAAGGTTTGATAAAGCCAAGCTGTTCGCCACGTCCTCTACGCGCTCGTTAGTTCAGCTGAATTAAGGAGTATCGCTTACACAATCTCTTTACCTGTTATAAAGGTTGTGTTTTCTCCTTGGCATAATGACTACATATAGTTTGAGTTAACCTCTAAGATTAAAAGCGAGTGCATTATCGGGTAATATTGGCACGAGGTTGTGGGAGCACGGATTGAGCGCAAAAAGCTAAAAGCCATGTAATTAATGTTCAAAACAATTAAAAGGCTAAGTCCCTCTTGTACTTTCAGGATTTATTTGGCATCCGCGGCCCTCCGTATAATCTAAGAGGGAACGGTTTAAAAGGGAACTTGACCGAAATTACAACGATAATCAGTTAGGCTCCTATACGACAGTCTTCTAAAACAGTTATCACTTTATTATTTTTTTATTTTTAACGTGTGTAAATAGATAAAGTATGTACATGTGTATGTATTTGTTCAGGAACAACCATTAGTTCAAGAAATAAGCTAAAGAGTGGGGATTTTGTCATACAACAAGAATAGTTATAAGTCTGCAGTTTTTTATATCTCTGTGGTTAAGTGTTATCCTTCTTGTAAAGAGGTTCCCATATACTCTGTTCCCATTTCGGGCCAGGTGCTGGTCTGTTTGCACACATTGAAAATGTTCGTTGGCGACGGTGCCTGGACATTGCTTGCCAGCTTTCGCACTCCTGGTGAAATTTTGTCGTGACCTATACTTTTTTAATTCTGGTTGCCTCCCAACATACATAGGATATTTTTCCAGAAGAAACTGGTTAGCTCTAAGCTCATACGATGTGAAATTATGAGATTTATCCCGCCAAGCAGGGGGTATCGTAGAGAAGCCACCTATACTCGTTGTAGCCAGGATGCGCAACAAGAGAGGGACAGAAACAGCTGAGCAGTTGTTAATTACCAACGGGATCTTGTAACTTATCAATTAGCGCACATGCCTGACGTAGGTCCCTGCTCGTTCTATCTTTGTCGTCTACTTCGTTATGGTTCTGTGTCAAGTTGTTGAATTTTGTCCTCAGATTTTCACCGGCCACAATGTTTATTGTATTTGCTGTTGAATTGACCAAAATCTCTGCATTTTCATCTTTTCCTACCCTTTCTGTAGAGGATTTATCTTGTGTTTCGATGCTTCAACAGTCCCTGAAATGGGACAAATGTCGTTGGGATCTTATCAGCAGATCTATCAAAGGTTTTAGACTTGCTTCATCCGCCTTTACAGGGTATTTGAAAAGTTCGCTCCGATTTTTTCCCCACGTAGATTTCACAGACTGCCATAAATACCTTTCGTAAAACTGAGTAAGTCATTCCTTATCCATTTAACGTTGAATAACTGAGATATTAGTAACCAGAATGTCTTCCTTTATCTTTTCGGACATTCTCTAAGCGGTGAGGTATAGAATGTACGAGCTTCGTAAGCGTGTCTAAAGTCAAATTTTCCAGGTGAACCACAGTAATGCAGATTCTTGACTGCATTAGTGTTGATCACCCTAACATAACCAAGTGCTGAGCTACAGTCTGAACGTCAGTATGGTGCCAGAACATTCTATGATCTATTTTGCAAAATGACGCTCGAAGATTGACAAAATGGTGGCACCTGTGCCGAAAATTATTCTGAACCCAAAGAGCCACTCATGACAGCCACATTCCCTTGTCGCTCACAGGAAAGGCTATTTGCTACCCTCTTTGAACCTGTGGTAAAAGTATACGTTTTTATAATTTCTATTCAAGGTAGCTGGAGATAAAGCCGAAACTGAACGATCAATATCTGAAAGAGTCAACCATAGCATACCCTCCATAATTGTATCAGATAAGGGCCCACAATTCAGCTCCGAACCCTTTCTGCTATCTTTCTCTTAGTACGACGTTGTTCTTGTGACAATTTTGCCCAAATACCCAAGGGCAAACGGTGAAGTTGAAGGACAGACTGCACAGTCAAAGCAATGATCCTCAAGAATGAAGACCTATGTCCAACCCTCCTTGCTTACCGATCTACACTTTTTAAGAATGGTTTTTGGATCACTCACCGTTTCTGGGAACGGAGTCATCTTTCTACCGACGCTCAAAAGTAAATAAATAGACCCTCGAATTTTCAAGCGATACTTCAACACTCGACGAGAACGACTCGATTTCACTCGAGGACTGGACGAGGACGCGATGTCTCTGCGGGGATGACTCAATAAGGCACGGTTGACTCGACAAGGACGACTCAACGAGACGATGACTCGACGAGGATTACTCCACGAGGATGACTCGGTGAAGTTGGCGAATCATCGTGTGTCATAGAGTAATCCTCGTAGAGTCATAAAGTGAAGTCGAGTCGTCCTCGTCGAGTCTTGAAGATCCATCGTCTATTTATTTATTTTTGAGCGTCGGTAGAAAGGTGACTCCGTTCTCAGAAACGGTGAGTGAACCTGGTTTTTCACTGAACGAGTTACTCATAGGGTTCTACGTAAACTTGCAAACCAAAGTTCCTGCCATACCCAGTATCTTCAAACCTAAGAAGCAAAATGCCAGTCAGAAACCAGAGGGCAAGTACGGGTCAAAACAGATTAACCATGTCAAACCACAGCAATCCGTTGCCCTGTTCCCTCCACCCACCACAGGTAAGCAAGTTTACGTGGAAGACTAGGACTGGGAGGGTCAGATCACAGGAACTGCAAACCAGCCTGGCTCCTACTTAGTGAAGATCGATGTGAGCATACCGAGGTGTAATTTTTTATTAGTCTGCTCTAGCAGCAACTAGTTTGAAGCGTACCACACCTTCCGACAGTCAAGCTATGGAACCTCATTAAGCATTACCAGTGACCCAAATACTATCAAAGGTTTCCAGCCCCAAGCACGAGAATCTACCGTCTAAACTTTCAACACCTACTAGATCAACAACAGCAATGCCAGCTCAAGAGAGCCATCTGAATGCTGAAAACTCTCCAGGTCACCTTTTTATGAGTGGCAACCTGAGAGCAATATATCATGTTACATGCTCTAACCCTGGAGGTGTTCTTTTGTGCATGTGGACATACGTGAGGCAAACAAGAGAAACAAAGCTATCTCAAGAGAGCGAGATCTGCTGCCTATCCTTGACGAAGTGATACATGGCCTGAGTGGTGCTACTGTGCTTGGCAAATTATGACTAAATCAGGACTATCGATCATCAGTTGCTGTTGCACCCTTACTCAAGGCATATTACCACCTTCTCTAATCATCTTATCGTCTTATTCAGATATAAACGTCTTAGTTTTGGCATTAACGCTGAGAAGTTTCACAATGTGACTGCCTCTGGCATTAGTGACATTCCAAATGTTAAAAACATTCGTGATGATGTCATAATCTATGGAGTGAATGATCAGGAAAATGATAAGGCTCTCCATTCAGTGCTTACCCGCTTCTTAGAGCTAAAAATTGCACTTCGCAAAAACAAGTGCCAGTTCTACATGCCTTGAACTTATTTCTTTGGAATGGTCTTCAGTGCACGAGGAATGTCCTCTGACCATGCTAAGGTCAAAGCAATAAAACAAGCTGCCCTGCTAACCTCTGGTATCGGCCGATTAAGTGTCGACCGATACTCTACCAAGGGGTGCACAAATTACACAAGACCCGCTCGTGGATGCCTGTCCAATTGGGTTAGGTGCTATGCTGACACAAAGTGGCAAAGTGATCTCCTTTGCCAGTAAAGCTCTTTCCAGTGTAGAGAGGTGCTCTTCTCAAATTGAGCGAGAAGCATTGGCTGTCTCATGGGGTTACCATCACTTCCGGATGTACTTGTTAGGAAGCCACTTTAAAGTGATAACCGGACCACAAGTCCCTGTTGCACATCTTCAACAGGCCTACTTCTCAAACTTCAGCAAGAATTGACAACTGGAGTCTGAAATTGCAGTCATTTCACCTCGAAGTGCTGTACTCAAGAGATGATTTAAGTCCAGCTGATTACATATCAAGACATCTTCGGGGTACCACTCAGTGTGACCAGGTTGTTGTGTCTGCAGAGCATTATGTTAACTTTGTCACGACACAAGCCACACTAAAGTCATTAAGCAGAGATGACATTGTTATGGCTACATCACGAGATGCGACTCTACAAGAAGTGATGCGCTTACCTTAAATGGCCAGTGGAACAGCCTGTATCCAGCGAACGGAGTTGATCCAAGTACCCTTACGATCTTTGCAAATGTTCGGAATAAACTTACTTCAGTGGACGGGTGACACTGTCCTTCGTAGTAATAGTATTGTCATTCCTGATACTTTCAGAAACGTGTCATTGGACAAGCCCATGAGGGTCATCAAGGCTTATTCAAGACCCGCAGCTTTTATATCCGAAGTCTGGTTTTCAAAGGTGGATACTGCTGTTGACCAAGTGCCGTAAAGAAGTGCTCTCATTGTCAGATTGCTGCACCAAAACCCTCTTGGGAACCATTAAAGATGACCCTACTGCAGGATGGTCCTTGGCAACAAGTGAGCATTGACTTTTGTGAAGTAGCAGAACATGTTCTAACAGTAGTTCAAGATTACTAAAAATTCCCTGAAGTTGAGATTGTGCATTCTACTTCTGCAAAAGCGGTCCGTCCTAAATTTGATCGCATATTTGCCGCCTATGGTGTGCCTCAAGTTGTCAAGTGTGATATCGGCCCTCCTTTTAATGGTCATGATTCGCCCATCTCGCGCATAATCTTGATTTCAAACACAGTAAAATTATCCCTCTATGGCCAGAAGCAAATAGTGAAGTGAAACGCTATATGAAAATATTTGGAAAGGTTCTCCGCACCACTTCTAACTGGAAGCA